AGTCCCAAGAAACGTCTTAACTCTCCCACATTGTCTGGTGTTGGCCAATCATGCACTGCTTTCACCTTGACAGGATCAGTTTGCACACCATGCTTGCTTACAGTGTGACCCAAGTAAAGCACCTCGTTCTGGAACAAATGGCATTTCTTGGGATAGAGTTTGAGGTTTGCTGCTTTCAAACGCTTGAATACTTCCTCTAGCTGGGACATTTCCTCATCATACGTTGTTGCAAACACAATGACATCATCCAGGTACACTAGGGCTATCCTCCATTGTAGGCATTCCAGTACTCTTTCCATCAGTCTCTCAAATGTTGCTGGAGCATTGTTAAGCCCGAATGGCATCATACAGTATTGCCAGAGGCTTGGCCATAACTAAATGCAGTCTTAGGTTTATCTGCTTCAGCATTTTCACTTGATGGAAATCTGACTTTATGTCTAGAGTTGAAACCACTTGGCTCCACTTAGGGCATCAAGAGTATCATCAATTCTTGGCAGTGGGTACGAGTCCTTGTCAGTTATAAGGTTAAGAGCTCTGAAGTCCACACAGCAATGTTGGGTCCCATCCTTCTTCTGGACTAACATAATGGGAGCTGACCAGGGAATATCTGATTTCTCGACTATCCCTTCCTTAATTAGGCCAGCGATGACCTTCTCCTTCTCTTGTTGCTTTGCCAGGGCTATTCTCATCCAAGGGATCTTTACTGGACAGTGATTGCCTGTGTTTATTCTGTGCACCATACGGTCTGTGCAGTCGAAGTCATGATTCCTTTTGAAAAGACGTCTGCATAATTTGCCAAAAGTTCCCTAACCTGAAGAGCCTGTGATGATGACAAATGGACTATGCTTTACTTATAGAGGTCAGTTAAATGTTCTGGAAGAGGATGTCCTTTCTTTGTGGTTGTATTTCTTGCCTTAACATTGACTGGCTCTACCTCCTGGCACACACCCAACAATGCCCATTCCTTAAGTGTCTGTTCACAGTTAGAGAAATTGGCCACTGTTATGGGTACTACTTGATGACCTGTCACAAGTGACCTTCCAATCTTCGCATCTGCTGGCCTGGATGGGTCTTCCACTGCTTACACAAGCATTGGGATTCCTTGGGGATGTTCTTTTATTCTACCCAAAATTATCTTCTCTGACATATTGTAGTTGACTTAAATGCTGTGACATGCAAATCAACATAAGCAGCAACACTTCATAGAATTTGGCCTTTGTTGTTCCCAAACGTTATTTTATCAAAATTAACTACACACTTCCTCGGTAGTAAGTAGTCCAATCCTAATATGCATTGGTCTTCAATGTCAGCCAAGTACACTCGTCCTTCATGCCCATGAGCTCAATAGTTACCCACACTGGTCCCCACAACCTTGCATAATGTCTTGTGACACCACAGAGCTTCTGTATGGCTTCTGGTACTGCTTTGTGATCTTGCACCTTGAAACTCACAATGGTTTGCTGAAATGCAGAATCTATGACAAAGTCGCACTTTTGGCCATCCAGCTTTCCTGTCACATAGACACTATGTGTGCTTGGCATTTTACACTTAACTGTTGAGACTTTCACGGTGGGGTTGGTGGGCGTCCCTCAGCACCAACCACTACTGGTTTCCCAAAGCTGACTTATTGGTAGTATTC